AAAACTGGTGTTGGCGAGTGCAAAAGTCACATACTTTGGTTTAGGTGTTGGAGGTTTTTTGCACATGTCCTGGCATCTGGAATTACACTCCTCCACCCAAAGTTCCTGTGTTTTGTATTTTATGTATTGCTAAAGATCCAAATCCTGCTTTCCCTTACAGTCTTGCACCACAAAAAAAAAAATGCCGTTGCAATTCCAAAAGAGGCGATGCTCAGCACACGTAGAAATATCAGCTTCTGGAGCCACAGAGGGCTTTTCCCACTCCCTGCTGGGGTGTCAGTCAAGGTCCCTATGGGGTCCATAGCTGGTGCTGGGAGAAGTTCTCATCCACTTCTATCTTCCAGGTGCCTGTCAGATTCACCTGCCTCATGATAGTTGGGCTGTGGTGCTTCTCCAGCTCTGTCTCAGCCCTCAGCTTTCACAGGCAGAGAGATGACTTGAGTAGATCCTTATTTGCCTTGTGGCTAGAGGCTGCTTATTGTTCTGTTGGTTTTTGCTCTTCAGCTGCTAGTATTTCACACTACTCCAGCGTGACTTTCTAGTTTTCAGGCCTATTTATTTTTGCTTTAGCCTTCAAGGGATATATGGCAATGTCTTAAACCAGCTTTGCTTCTGGAAAAATCACAGTGTGGAACTGAATCTTGGAGCACTAGAGTGTGTCCACCTACGGTGTTGTTTTTCTGTCCCAGCCTGAGATGTTTGTGATAATGAGGTCTTCTCTGGGTTTTTTTTTGGTGAAGGCAATCTCAAAACTTTGCCCTGCTGAAAAGCAATTTGGGCAGTGTGTGACATTTTAAACTGAATGTAATCCACCTAACAGCCTGCCTGCTGAGAGGCTCTTATTTGTCAAGGTTTAAGTGGTTTTTTCGGTAAGGGAGTTTTGTACTGATGGAGGTGAAGCTGTGTTGAATTTGTTTGTTTCATCTGATGCTTGGTTATGTCTCTAAATCCTTAATCCCAGTAATGGTTTTCTTCTGATAATGTGAATTGTGTAACTCATGAACGTTTACTCCTTTCTTTGCATTTTTTGGAGTGAACTTCTCCACTTACCTTTTGTGGTTGTTAGATATTCAGAACTAGGATTCAGATTACCAAAATTCACATTTAATAAAACCATTTCCTATTAAACAAATAAAGTTATTAAATAGTCTTGATGGTTCCTCCTATAAGCCTTCATATTAAACCAACCCTGTCTCAAGCCTGGAGTAATACTCCAGAGATGCTGGCCTTTGGAGTGAGGTTTGCAGTGCTCAGGAGTCCAATGCAAGTTTTCTGTCTACAGACATATGTGAATAGGTGATGAATCAGCAGTAGTTTGTCTCTGAGCCAAGAAACATAATTTATTGCTGTAATACCATTTTTTTCTGTCTAACAATAAAATGATTTTCTGAACATTTAGGCAGAGCAATTTTTGATTAAAAATACTTTTGCCAGTGGTGTGGTAGTTGAATTATGATTTGTGGGCATTGGAGATTAAGTACTTGTTGTGGGGAGCTCTCTGGAACTAAGCCTGTGAAAAGGGTGCATTATGCTGCAAATTATGAAATATTGATTTCTGTAACAGTCTACAGGCATCAATGAATTTTGTAATATGCTAGTAAATAATATGAAAGAGATTAATATCTCAAGAGCAAAAGTAATTACAAATGGGTTTAAATGGCATATGCGTTAGATTTGTGGATACTGAAGAAGTTTCAACTTTGACCTCTTGGTGAGTACCACAGAATGGGTAGGGTTGGAGGGGACCACTGGAGGCCATCTAGTCCAAACTCCTGCTCAAAGAGGGTCCCCTGGAGCACATCAGGTTTGTGTCCAGATGGCTTTTGACCATCTCCAGGGAGGTATCCAAAACTGCCTAGAAGATCTTGTCACCTCGGACTTTTGCAGCCGAAGTTCCCAGAGCTTCCTGAGGCCTGTGATCTGTGTTGGATGCTGGATGTTTGGCTTTGGAGATCACAGCCACATGCCAGAGGCAGCGAGGCATGTTCTTTACAAAGCTGGCATTCTTCTGCATCACTCTGAGGTTTCCTGGCAGCCTGCTCTGAAGCAGCTCAGTTAAGCACAGTTTACCCTCTATAGCAAAGCTGTTGCTTGCACCAGGGATGGTTTCTTTATAATGGTTTAAAGAAGTCGTTACTGCAAAGTGTTTGCTCTCAGCATTCATTATGAAATTGCTTCTCCACAGAGATTAGCAATTTGAATTTGTCATTACTTTTTCTCTCAGTGTAAATATTTTAGAGAAATAACTTCCTCCAGAAGAATGAAGGAAATGGATTTTGTTGTCTTAATTTTGTGTAGAGGGAAAGACAATTTTCAAACGTTATCCTTAAGCATCACTTAGATCCATGTGATGCACATTTCTGATTTGCTGCCTCGCTTTGTTCATGAGACAAAATTAATGCTTTTCTACAGACTTCAGTCTTTAAATTTCATTAGGAGGCATGATAACATCTGGGTCCTTAGGTCACTTAAAATGGGCAGCCAGCTTTAGTTATAGCTTATGAATTTTTTTTTTACATTTTGAGGGGTTTATGTAGTAGCAGAACTGCTTATTGCATATGTGTGAACTCTTGTTGGTACTAAATGAACAAGAAAAGGAACTGTATTGGGGGGAAATGCAGAGGTACAGTTTGGGCCATGGTTTCCACAATTGCAAATACAGCTGAAATACCAGCTCTGGTGTGACTTTCAGTTAGTGACCTAAAAAATGTACGCCATTGACCTCAAAGTCACAAAAAGCATAGCTTAGTTAAAGAACAAGAAATGCTTGTGAGAGGCTTGAGTAAAGGATGGGGGTGGGGGAAGGAAGCTGTCTGATAGAGATGTTCATTCCTGAGTGCAGGTAAGTCTGAGTGAAAGTCTGTCACCCCTGGGTCATGTGGAGACTGTCCTTGTGACCATGCAGTCACAAGGCATGCAGACATACGTCCCTTCCGAGCCTTGAATATTTATTTGCTTTTATGATTTTAGCTAAGATATCTCAAGGATATTCGTAGTACATTAGTTTTTATTGTGTTCTGCTTTATTCTCTGTGTTGCAATAACATCAAAGTCTTGCAAGGCCCATATAAAGGATGGCAGAGGATATTGTCATTCAGGAACAGTGCCTAAAGTCCCTCGGGGTAAAAACTCAAATGTTGGCTATTGCAGGCTTGCCTAAGGCTGCCAGGGTGTATTCCTTCTAGGTTGGAAACTGTCCTAGGATGAACAGTGCAGTGATCCCGTTACTGATTTAAGGCTGAAACAATCTAGGACACAGTTGCTGGCCTGATATTTCTGAGGGTGGTAATACCTTAGTGAAAGGTGAGGATGCTGTAGGTAGGTGAGTCAGATGAATGCTTTCAAATGAGCTATTCAAGTTTTGTATAACTAATGGAGCAGTTAAAAAAAATAAAGGCAACAAAACCCTCCCAAATGCAAAAGATCCTGAAGGGTTTGAGGTTAGGGGACTGCTCAGAAAGCTTTGATTATTGTTAAGGTCAGTTAACTCCAACAGATCCTTTACAGGTTTGGTGAAGTTTCAGAACCACGTCCTTCCAGTTGTGGTGTGAAAGCAAGTGGCAGTGGCATATGGCACTTCTAACATTCAGGAGCTCCTCTAGTGAGAATAAAGATGATGACTGTCTTTTTACTAAGATTATTTTTTTTGAAGGCTCAAAATGAAAGACTCCCCATTCCAACCCTCAGCCCTCTTTAGCTGTAATAAGACATGTTCATAGTGCAATCACACACAGCTTGTGAGCACATTACAAAGCTGCTTTAAAATCAAGTAACTTAGCTGTTGCCTGAATATTTAATCAACTTTTTGTCTGGGTTTTATTGCCAGCATCAGATCCCATAATGTAAACCATTTGTGCTGTAGATATACCTATGAAAAAAAAGTAGAAAAGAAAAAGAAGGAGATAGAAACTCATTCTTCCACCTTTTATATCCCAGCTGAGCTTGAAATTAACAGTCATTAAGTGTAATGCCAAGTGTCAGTTGTGCAAACAAATGTGTAATAATTGTATTTTGGATGCAACAATGTTTTAGAGGAAACTGCTTATAATTTCCAGCAGTTACTCTTGCATTCCTTTCTTTGGGTCCTTTATCTTCAAGTTATATCTGCAGAATAAAATTGCAAAGTCAACTCATGCTTTGCAGTTACTTAAATTAGGTGATGTAGTAAACTCAACAAAGCTAGCAGAAGACAGTTATCTGCATAAGGTGGATTCAAGTAGTACTGATCTGGTCCTTATCATTTTCTTTGAGGCCATAGTTTTATGTGTGTCATCTTAAAAAGTTGTCTTTGGTGTCAGATTGGTGCTAAAATTGTTAATTTCAAATATACATCCAGTACCAAAATTGTTAAATCTTATAAGCTTTGATTTATACCTAATTTGTTCACCTTATCATTCTTTCCAAGAACTTTTGTTTTACTGATATATAAATATTTGGTCTTGGAATGTTTCCTCCGTATATGTGTGTGCGTACATATGTGTTATGTATATATTCATGAAAAAATAATAATTCATGTACCTAGAATGTAGGTAACGTCTCTTTCAAGTGCTTTCAGGTAAAGGGAGGGATTTCTCATGCAGCAGATCAAACAGTTTATCACATTTTTAGTGCTATTTCAGAGTGAAGGGGTAGATGGGGTAAAAGTACTTTTGGATAAACAGGGCTTATTTTGGTAGTCAAGAAACACAGAAGATTTGAAGATGGTCATGCACCTAATTATATATCAGAACTATGTCTCTTTGATCCCTCAAAACAATATGGAAGCTCACAAATATGCACAGAAAAGCTGATCAAGTTTGTACATTTGGAGTGAGGGTGATGCTGAGAAAAGTGTTTCACATCACGTTTCCCCAGCTGGTTTTACAATGTCCTTGTAAAGCAACCCAGTGCTGTCCCATGTACCACTCACTCTTTTTGTACTTCAGACCAAACATACATTTCATTCAGTTCTCAAGTGACCAATGTTACCTTATTTCCTTTCCTTTGTCTCCTTTCCTCTAGCTTTTACAGCTTCTGGAGTCTGAAACCATGCAACTAGAAGCCTTTCTGGAGTGGAAGCAACTGGAACCAGTTTATTGGCAGTGGATGGTAATGAATCAAACTGATTTTGAAATGTGCAACTTTCTTGACTCTAACATAGCTAACTATGTCCAAAGGCCCCTTTCCACAAAATAAATGTTGCAAACCAGCTGTTCAACAGCATTTGAGATAAAGTCAAAAAGCCTTTGGTAAAGTAATGTTTTCTTAGTTTTCTTTTGTTCCTGTTTTCTTCAGTAGGACTCACCCAGCTAAGCTGAGGAATTGCAGAACAGAATGGCAGAATTTCATGTAGTTAACACAAATGTAAACGTCTGATCTTCATCTTGTTAATAGTTTTCGAACATAGCAATCACACATTTTCTTCAAATTAAATGGCTTTTCAGAAGAGGGCCTCTAAGGTTTATTGCAGTCTTGAGAATAACTAAATTTGCAAGCAGCTGATATTGAAAACAACTTCATTTTTCCCAGCCAAATAGTGTGTTGACATTGCTGATTTCCCCTTGAACTGTGTTGAATGATCATAAGAAAATCAATAAGCCTCTCTCTGTGCATCTTAGGATTTCTCAACTAAGTGCAAATGATGCCATCCATCTCACTTCTCTCTACGACTTTTGCCCGTTCGCTGTTGCTGAAATAATTCTTTAGAGCACCACATTACAAAATTTTCATAATCAGTGAGCTGACTGGTAATTGCCCATATGCCTCCTTCTACACTAAAATCAAGGCACAGGGCAGTGTAAAATTGCCTCACTTGAAAGATGCTTCTAGCTGCTGTTAGTTCTCTAATGGCTTTTGCTTTACAAGTTTACCATCTTAACGTTTTTTTGGAAAGGATCAACACTAGCATAGGCCTGGCTCCCAATAGGCAAAATGTAACTGCAGGTGTTATGGCCAAAATATTTGCCTTTGGCATGTTGCACGGTGTGGGGAGTGATAGGGAACGTCCTGGAGTTAAGTCCTAAATAAATACTTGAAAAAAAATCAACTGACCAGCGCATCTTTTTAAATTATTCAATATGTTGGATGGTGAATTTGCCTTTTGTTTCACTGGTGGTTGTTCCCAGATGCAGTAGGATGTATGGAAATGAGATGTGCTTTGAAAATACACTAGTTTTCACTTTCCCCTTAACCTGTGTTTTGCGCTGCTGATCTGATGGATGGGGTGGTTCTTGCATAGCTACTGCCAGGTCTTCCTGATGGTTGTGGGCAGGAGCATGACAGAGCATGATATCACTGCAGTAATTATAGAATATCCTGAGTTGGAAGGGACCCAGAAGGATCATTGAGTCCAAATCCTGGCCCTGCATAGGACAACACCAAGAACAACACTGTGTGCCTGACAGCATTATCCAGATGTTAATGTTACTTCAAAATTTTGTCATTTAATGAATTTAAAATGTGAACAAAAACCGTCTCCAAAATGCAACAAAACCAAAAAAGCTTTGTTTTACTCCCATGCAGTTTGTTATCCTGTCAATGTCCCCCCATGTCTGTGTTCTCCTGAGCTGGGCCTTGGTCATCATGAGCTACTGGCCTCAGTGATGCTCTGTGCCAATTTGCAATGCTGATGCTTGCTGAGAAAGGAGGTTTTGTAGGGTATCTTATGTCATTCTTAGCTGTCTTATGAGGTTTTTTTCTTGTATGAGCCTAAAAATCTCTTGCTGTGAATTAAGCCAGAGTTTTTAACCTACCTTCAGAGAAAAGAGAGAAAGAGGCGAAAAAATAAAAATTCTCATCCTCTTTTTAGCAATCTTTTATATAAGTGAAGGCTGTTAGCATGTCACTGCCTTCCCAGTCCCTGTTTCTAGGCCAAGCAAAAATTCTGATGTCTTTGTGTCTCTTTGTAGGCCATTCTTCCAAACTTGTGATGGTTGTTGCTGCTTTCATATAGGACTTTCCCTCCCCTTTATCTGTGTTTAATTTCAGGTGCCTCACCTGTGTGTCAATGTTACAGTCATTGCTCTTTTATCACAGAAACTTGTGTTTATACTTGCTAACATGGTACTTGACTTTAACAGTGTGATATTGGTGACTTCTGGCTTTCTGATCTCATCCAGCAGTGTTGCTGCTGAGCCAGTAATTATGCACTTGGTTTTTCCTCACCTGCGTGTAGACCATGCTGTTCAACTGCTGAATTTCCTCTCAGTGTTTTTAAATTACTTCTTCAATTACTAAAGATAATTCTGAATGCAAATTATGTCCTTAGAAGTGATTATGACTTCTCCTATTTAATGTCTTCTTGATAATGGTATGGAAATAAATATTTAATACTCCATGAGCGAGGCCTGACTCCTTTAGTTGTGCTGTACTACCCTGGCTTGAAAACTGTGTGTTTCTACACAGTCTGTGCACCAGAGTGAATATATGCATTTCAAGGACTCTGAAGGTTTTGTTTATTTGGTTGTGGTTTGTTTGGGGTTTTTTTTTGAGTATTTGAAATATCAGTTGCTATCTTGGAAAGCACTTGCAGAATTAATTATCAAGTCAACTAGATGGTCATGATCAGCTAGAGCTGACAGCTCCTGACCAGCGTGGAGCAGGGATCTCTTGGGGTTCCTCAACTTGTGGAGTTTTCCATGGGCACAAGTGATCCCATGGGTGTTATAGCTTGCTGTGCCACGTGTCAGGTGAGGCTCTCCTGTACAGTGTAAGCACTTACCTCCTTCCTGATCATCACTTTGTTACAAAAAGCCATAGAAGTGCATCCAGTCTCAGAGTTTGAGAGGAAAGGGCATATCTAGAGCTGCTGCAGTACTAATCACCTCCATCTCATGAGTGTTACTTCATGCTTTAAAGCAGTGGAGAGTAGCTGACTGTGCAGTGCTTTTTAAAATAAGCTAGGTTAGCAACATAAGTTTTCTGTTAACTTGGAAATGTGTTACAGTGAACTGAGGGGGTTCTCTCTTAAAATAACTCTGAAATTGTGGAGCAACTGTGTATTGAGATGGCAGCAGTGAATTCCTAGTTATGAATTACCAGGAAGATGGGGGGGAACCATTTTAGCTCCTGCTGAAAAGTAACTTTTATTGTTTTGCCTTTAGGAAACTGTGTTGGATAATATGGCTGAAGAGGGAAATATGTGCAAGTCCCAGGACACTCATGTCGAGAAAAGAAGGCTGCCAAAGCTGACCTCCTGCTGCCCCTGGGCTGACAATCTGACTGGGCAAATTGACAGATTATCCAGAGATCTAATGACTCTCCAAGACCAACTGCATAAGCTTGTAGCCCACCGAAAGGCTGCGTGGTGTGAGAAGGTGAGGCTTCAGGTGGTGTTCATGATCACTAGTGATTCCTAAGATCATTCCTGGTTTTCATCTCTCTCTCTTTGGCCCCTTCTGGGGCAGGCTCCCTGTTGCTGCTCTGTGTCAACCTTGCTGCAGTCACGATGTCAGATCTGTGGTTACTTGTCTGTTTATGCCCACAGCATGCCAAGTGCTCTTTCAAACACAAAGTAGGCATCTGTCCCGGAGAGGCAGCATGCTGAAACAAAACAAGTGTTCTTTTGGAAAGGAAGGTTTCAAAGGAGAGGAGAAGAGAGGGGGGAGGAGGGGAGGAAGGAGGAGATCATGGCAGCCCCCAGAGGGGATAGATGCAGTAGGCTGAAAGCAGTAATGATTATAGTGAGAAAATAAAGAAAGGTATTCACAGGGAAAGAAGGGTGGGAGAGGCCAGAGCTTGTCATCTTTCACTGAATTAGGAGTCTTTGAAATGTCTGATGGGGGAAGGAATAAGAGGGATTTGAAACCTGTGAAGTGAAAGAAGAGACTAGGCATAAGATTTGATGGAAGAACAGACTGGCTGTGGGAGGCTGGCTGTGGAGGAAAGCAGGTGATATGAAGGAAGTGTACATGGTATTCGCTGTCATAAGGATGGGGAGATACTGGGAAGCACCCGAAGGGGGTGGTGGGGCATAAATAAAGGAGATGTTAATGTAGATGAAAAAGGTGAATATGTTGGCACAAGGAGAAATTACAGTGAGGATGCAGGCATAAAAAAACTAATGATTCTTCTCAGGCATCAAGAGGAGAGAATCACAGAATCATAGAATCAACCAGGTTGGAAAAGACCTCTGAGATCATCAAGTCCAACCCTTGATCCAACACTGCCGTGGTTACCAGACCATGGCACCGAGTGCCACATCCAGTCTCATTTTAAAAACCTCCAGGGATGGTGAATCCACCACCTCCCTGGGCAGCCCATTCCAATGTCTGATTACTCTGTAAAAAATGTCTCACCCCGCTCTCACTGCCATGCCTGTTCGCCACGATCCGGGTCACAGCACTCCCTGCAGCACTTTAAATCTCCCGAGAATGACCTCGACCTCAGCTCCACTCCCTGATCAGCTTATTAGGCCTCTTAGGGCAGCTGGGCTGAGCTGGGCTGAGAAGAGGATGCCAGGGAATTTATGATACGTCTGGATGGAGAAAAAGTGAAAGAAACAGTTTGGGCAGATGGAGCAGTAGTAAAATTGCTGTTTCACTATTTTGTGTCTGTATTAACTCAGGAGAGGGTTTTTTTGCTTGAGGTGTTAGTCTTCTTTCTTTTCAAGAGAGAGGGGAGTATGTGCTTTTAGATTGAAGTGTTGGTAGACAGGATTGTAGATGAGCTGACAAAATGAAGATGGCAGGTTGTCAGATCAAGAAGTATTTGCCCAAGAGTTCAAAACAGGTCTGGCGTGGAAAAAGTGTGTGGAGAGCTAATCACTCTCTTCCACTGTAAGGAAAAGGAACTAATTAAGATCAGTTGGACAGGGACAGGCCCAAGGAGCTGCTGCTTCACATAGAGTACAAAACCTCTTCCCACAGGGCACTGTGGATATAAGCAGTGTACACAGATTCGAAAATGTTGTACAGATTCTTGGAAGTTGAAATCCATCAAAGACTATAAAATATGCAGATAAAAAATACAACCTTACGAGTTAGCGGGAGAACAAATCATTGCAGGCTGTGGGAATATTCTGAGGAAGTATCTCCATATATTTGCCTTTGTCTTACAGTATTCTCTAGGCACTTGTGTCGATCACTGTCAGTGATGGGGTACTGGACTAGGCAGATCTCAAGTATCATCAGATTTGGTTGCTTCTGTGGCAAAACGGACGTGACTGTTGTGGGACAACTCAGACCTAGAATTCTAAAAATAAAACTTGCAGTGTGTGATTTCTAAAGCAAAATATGCTTGGACTTCTCTTATATATAACACTATGTATGCTGTTAAATATGATGTTAGATATTATGTAATATCACACTGAAATTTTTTTATGCTTAAAAAATTTAAGTCCAAAAAGATTTAACTGATGATTTCTTCTTTGAAATAGGTGCACTGATTGGATTTGAATAATGGTTGGTCATGTTCCAGTGTTTCTGAGATTCTGTGGGTATCATGGGTTTGTGACTGGGTAGTAGATGGAGTGCACTTTAAGCGTGTTGTTAAAAGGATGGATTATCGCAGATGCCTCCTCTTCTACATGCCCTGAAACAGAATTGTTTTGTAATGCTACATGACAGCGTTTTTTGGCATGCTGGGGGTCAGACGACTCTCCATCAATCCTCTTCATATCAGGCCTTCCTTTGCATAGTGTTGCTGCTTATGTGATGCTTTTTGCCTGTGGTCTGTCTTTTTTCTTCTCCGCAGCCAGGCTGCTTGCTGAATGCAGGCTCCTCTATCAATTGGATATTTCTGACCCCTTCAGTCTTTTCCCTGGAGAAATAAGCTTATCAAATCTTTCCTTCTGTATTATTTTTTTAATCAAACAAAGAGAAGATACAGTAGTGACTAAAGTCATTATCACTGACTTTGTATCTTGCAGTACTGAGACATCTGGAAATTATCTTGGCTCTTACAGGCATGCCCAGCTGAGGGACAGTGCAGTTTATTACAGTTCTTGTGTCCACTACCTTGTACTTCACAAAGAACATGATAATCCACAGAGCATTTGTCTGTTTTTACCAGTGGGGCTTATGCCTGTGCCAGGCAACCGGGTAGAAACTGTTCTGAACAACAGAATTGAGGGCACAGCATTCAATGTGATATACTGGGGAAGAGACAGCACAGGTTTTTTTGCAGAGAGGAGTCATGACTCTCAAATCTGTTGGAGCTCTCTGAAGGGACCAGCAAACACGTGGGCAGGGGCGGTTGGATCGATGTCGTTTAATTGCATTTACAAATGGTATTTGATGAAGTCCCTTTCTGAAAAGATTCCCAACAAAAATAAACTGCCCATGTGATTGTATTTCCTCTTTCCCTTGAGCGAACAGCAAAGCAGGAGGCAGAGAGGAGGGGGCTGCAATGGGTTTGTGGAGCTGGTCACTGGTGTGGCCTCATAGCCCTGTGCCACTGCTCTGGGAAAGGGCCTGTATGGGGAGGTGCCCCAGTGGAGAGGGGAGATTAAATCCCTGAGAGCACCTGAAGGAAAACAGCAAAGGATTATTGAAGGTCCTTGTTTTGAGTGGTGAAGTGGTAAAATGTCAGATGAAATTGCGTGGGGATGAATCTAAGAAAATGCATCTGAAGGGAGGATCATAATTTTACATGTGTTTCTTCTGATTGTCTTGGCACATGAATGAGCTCTGTGAAAATGTCAGTGGTCAGAAATAGTAAACTGAATCCTAAAAAACTGTTAGGAAAGCAGAAGAAAGCAAAACTTAAAATATTCCCATCTGTTTTTGGAATGCCGTGTGCAGTGCTAGTCCCATTCATAAATAAATAAAAAGGTGGTTGAGCTGAAAAGGCACAGGGAGGGGATGTAGTGATGACCCAAGTTGTGAAAGGGTTTCTCTGTGAGGAAACTTACCTAGGCTGGACTTCTTGCACAAGGAGAGAATGAAGAGGGATATTACAATGGAGCAGGAGGAGACAGGTTTTTTCTGTTCTTCTGATGCTCCTTGGTTTTCGTGATGCATGAACCTAGAGGGAATTACTGGACAAATTAATGAAGAAAAATGTCATTGTTAGAAATATGGAAAGTACTCTCTGTTCAGAAAAGACCTTCAACCATAAGCTGCTGGAGTTTAGGAAGCTGTATTTTTAAGTGAGGTATTGTTCCGTATTTGTCTATTCCTAAACCTATTCCCTAGTTATTTGCTATGACTACTGAAGACAGTGCTGGGTTAGATAGAGCTTTGATCTAATCAGGTACAGTTCCTCTTTCCTCATATCCATTGTTGAGCATCACCACTGAGGAGAGAAATTAGGGAGAGTGCAGAAGACAAAAATGAAAATAAGTGTGAAATGTAAGGTCTTTGGAAGATCTTTGTGTTAAAAATAGCAAGACTAAGGTGAGGTATATGATTCTTTGTTCTTTTTTTCCTCCCTATATCCTCAGAGAATGGGACAAGAATGTGTGTAAATCACAACATAGAGATTCTAATTAGATACTAGGAAAAATTAGATACTTAGGAAAAACTCCTAATATCCAGGGCAGAGAAATATTGGGAGTAGGTTGTCTGGTGAGCTGTGAAGTTTCCATTCTTGGACCCTGCATAAACCAGGTTATCAGGTATCTGTCAGGGATGGCTCAATAAGAGTTGGACCTGCACTAAGACTGTGGATTTGGCTTGAAAATCTGTTGAAGTGTCTTTAATTTATGAAAGCCTGCAATTGATTGATTTGTGTATTTTGGACTGTGTAGAGGTATTTCAGATGTGTTACTCATTGCTATGCCAGGATGCCTGGTTTGCACCACTAAGCAACTGCTTATGATTCAAGATGTGGTTTCAGGGGCAATGTGTCTGTTTGTTGTAAGTTTGGTCATTTGCACACTGTGAGTCTGATAATTAAAACTATCAATCTTAAATCTCTTAAAATTAAGAAACTTTTTAGTTATTTTGTTTCTTTGCTTGTTTCCTTATTTCCTTTTGTTTGTTTCTGCCTGCCCCCAGCTGTTTCTTTGGTTATGTGCTTAGAATGACCCTGAAACCCTTTCCCCTTTCAGGGACATTCAGTTGAAGACATTTCAATGTTACAATAGGATTTGGTGATTTTTGAAGTTCTGATTAATATGACATTTTAACTGATATCCATCTCTAGGCAGCAATGTGTTCAATAACTTGAAGGAGGAGAAAAGGTATATGAGAGAGGTGTGATCTGAATATGGGGCTTTCTTACTGTTAGCTTTGTTCTTTTCTGTGCAGTGCTGGGCAAATAATCATAATTTCTTTGGTGACATTTTGGAGATCTGTAAACTATCAAAAAGTGGAGGAAAATGGTTAAGCTTTAAGAATGTTTCTCCTCTCAGAAACAAACTTAACCGTGAGAG